TGGGAGTTAGCATTCTGCCTTGGGAAAAGTACAACCAGAATGCTCCATGGAAGTTAGATGGCAAGACTTTGGACATGTTATAAAGAAAGACAAGTCCCCGGAGAAAGTTATCACGCTTGGTTAAGTAAGAAAAATTGAAGACCCTTGATGAGATGAACAGACACAGTGGCTCCAACAATGAGCTCAAGCGTAACAATTGTGAGGATGGCGCGGGGTCAGGAAGTGTTTCCTTCTGGTGTACATAGGTGTGCGGTGAGTCGAAACCCACTGGACGCCACCTAACACCAATGTCCATTTCTTTATAACACCCACCACAGGGGAGAGCGGGCCATGTAAATAAAGCATAGAGGACTGTAACTCAGGATGTGGTAAGTTTTGCCACTTCCTTCTGTGTAAGAGAGCCATCTCAGAAGCAGGACCAGAAATTCCACTGAGTGTCAGGAAAGGAGTGGAGTACTTTTGGGATCCCTGCCCAAAGTGGTAGAGGGAGCAAGGTTACAGAGGCCAAGGCACAGAAACCATGAGACAGAACAGAGGAGCTGGGTGACACAGAGAACTTGAGGCAGTGAGGTAAGAAGACAGGCGGGCTTCCTGGCCCACTGGAGAGGAGGCCAAGAGGTCATGTGGCAGAGGGACTGAGGGCAAGAAAGAGACTTGATGGCTGGCAGAGAAGTGATGCTGGGGATCAAAGACGTTATCCTTGAGGTGCGCTGGTCCTGGATGGTGACAACCTGCTAATGTCTCTAATACATCCCTATAATCATGAGTATTTGCTGAGAATTCTATGTTGACTACAATGAATTCCCAAATCCAGCAGAGAACTAGAGGGTTGTAGGTGGAACAGGTGGTGTCAGAATAGACAGGATAAAGAAAAACAGGGGGTGAGAGGTCTGATCTCTGCCTTGTGCCAATCAGACATGAAGTGGGATTCTCCTTCTCCCTTGTGTAGCCAGAGATCAGATGTGGCCGCCACACCATTTCCTCAAGTATGTCGTTCGAGTTCTTCACTACTCCCTGCATGAGCATTGCTTGAGCATTGCTTGTGGATCCAAGCAAAATGAAACCCCTCACAACTTCCATCTTTTGTCCATCTATCATGACGTTGTCTATTCGACCAGTTGTAAAGATTTTCATCTGCTTGAGGTTGAGGTGTCATCCATACTGAAGGCTGTAGTCTTTGCTATTCATCAGTAAGTGCTTCAAATCCTCCTGTCTTTCTTTTTTCTTTTTTAATCATTTATGAGGGGCTCATACAACTCTTATCACAATCCATACATACATCGATTGTGTAAAGCGCATTTGTACATTCATTGCCCTCGTCATTCTCAAAACATTTCCTCTCCACTTAAGCCCCCGGCATTAGGTCCTCATTTTCCCCCTCTCTCATGAGCCCTCCCTCCCTCATGAGCCCTTGATAATTTATAAATTATTATTTTGTCATATCTTGCCCTGTCTGACGTCTCCCTTCACCCACTTTTCTGTTGTCCGTCCCCCAGGGAGGAGGTCACATATAGCTCCCTGTAATCGGTTCAAGAAGTAAAGTGGGATCATCTGCATATTGTAGGTTTTTAATGAGCCTTCTGCCCATCCTGATGCAACATTGCTCATAGAGTCTAGCTTTGGGGATTGTTTGCTCAGCAAACAGATTGAACAGGCAGCTTGAAAGAATACAGCCCTAACCCAGACTTTTCCTGATTATAATCCATGTAGCATCATCGTGTGTTCCAAGGGCTACCTCTTGGTCTGTTTACAAGTCTCCTACGAACACAAGGAATGCTCTGGAATTCTCATTCTTCATAAGTTATCCAGAGTTTGCTGTGATCCACATGGTTGAGTGCCTTTCATAACCAATAAAACGCTAGCAAACATCTTTCTGATATCTCTGCTTCCAGCCAAGATCTAAAAGGTGCCAGTAATGATATCCTTTGTTTTGTGCCCTTCTCTGAATCTGGTTTTAATTTCAAATAACTCCCTTTGTGTTCCTGGCTATGTTTTTGAATTGTTTTCAGCAAAATTTTACTTGCAAGTGGTAGTACTGATATTGAATGATGACTTCTGAATTTCATGGCATAGATGTGACTTTCCCAAACTGCATCAATTTGTTCAGGCATTTCAATTGGTATTCCGTCACTTTCTGGAGGCTTGTTTTCAGCTAATGCCTTCAGTGAAGCTGGGATTTCTTCCTACAGTATCATTGGATCTGATCATATGCTAGTTTTTACAAGCAGCGTGAGTAATGTGTCATAATCATATTTTTAAGTTAGAAAAATCACTGGAGGAATAGTGCGGAGAACTGACAAGAATGTACAAGAAGTGACTCAGAAGCACACTGTCATAAAACCCAGGTAAGGGATAATGAGGTGACACAAGTGGACACAAATCTGGATATGAAAGGTATACCAGTAGAAAGGTACTAGGCTAGAATAGGGCAGCAATGAGGGGAAAGAAACTCCTGGGATTTGCCCACTGATGAGGAAATTAGCAGCTAGAAATTTGGAAGGGGAGTAAGTTTTGGAATGAGAAGACTTCAGGTTCAATTTTTGACAAATTGTATTTCAGAGATTTACTTATAATCCTTGGCCTACACTTTGAACATAAATAGGCCCTATTTATAGGCTATAGCTTTGTTATTGATAATTTAGGATCCAGCAGTGAAATTTACCACATATTAATCTAAAATTATCAAGATTATTCACTTCCCCGTGGCTTTTTATCAACACACACAGACACACACCTACGCACTCACACACACACACACACACACACACACAAGCCAAACATTAGACACTTGGCAAACAAAGAAAACATTCTATACTTGGCAAATTATGGTGAATACTGGGGTCTTGTAGACATTTTAATCTGTAGCATAAAATCTTAGTCAAATATAGAGCAAGGAATGTATACCACTGTCCATTGTAGTGCTTTTATTCCCAATAGTCAAGAGGCATTAAAATCTCCAAGTTCCCATGAATAAATAGACAAGATGGGATGCATACACACAGCAGAATAGTACTTAGCAATAAAGAGAAGTGGAGTTCTACTGTATGTTTGAACTTGACGAACCTTCATACATATTATACTGAGTGAAGTAAGTCAGTCACAAAAGAACAAATATTACATGCTCTGACTTATGTGAACTCTCTATAATAAGTAAATACATAGAAACCAAAGTTTATTAGTGGGCACCAGTAGCTAGGGGGAGAAGAAAAGTACTTGTTAATATTTAAAGAATAATGAGTCTCTGTTTAAAGTACTTAAAAGTATTTCGTGGTAATTGTTGAACAAGGCAAATATACACTAAAAATGGTTAATGTGGCAACATTTTGTTATATGTATTTTACCACAATAAAATTATACATATAATCATGTGTGTGTGTGTACGAGAGTGCTTCAAAATTCATGGAGAATGGAATTAAAAGGTATTGAAATTTTTTCCCCCATTATTTTATTGGGGGCTGGTTCAACTCTTATCACAATCCATACATCCGTCCATTGTGTCAAGCACATGTGTACATTTGTTGCCATCCTCATTCTCAAAATATTTGCTCTCAACTTGATCCTTTGGTTTCAGCTCCTCATTTTCCCCCTCGCTCCCCCATCCCTTCTTCTCTCATGAACCCTTGATAATTTATAAATTATTATTATTATTTCAAGTCCTACACTGTCCGATGTCTCCCTTCACCCACTTTTCTGTTGTCCGTCCCCCAGGGAAGGGGTTATAGGTAGATCATTGTGATCGGTTTCCCCTTTCTACCCCATCTTCCCCTTACCCTCCTGGTATCCCTACTCTCTTTATTGGTCCTGAAGGACTTATCTGTCCTAGATTGCCTGTGTTTCCAGTTCCTCTCTGTACCAGTGTACATTTTCTGGTCTAGCCAGATTTGTAAGGTAGAATTGGGATCATGATAGTGGGGGTGGGGTGGGTGGAAGCATTAAAGAAATAGAGGAAAGTTGGATATTTCATGGTTGCTACACTGCACCCTGACTAGCTTGTCTCCTCCCCATGACCCTTCTGTAAGGGGATGTCCAATTACCTACAGATGGACTTTGGGTCTCCACTCTGCACTCCCCCTCCTTCACAATGGTATGAATTTTTCTTCTGGGTGTTTGATGCCTGATACCTGATCCTATCAATACCTTGTGATCACACAGGCTGGTGTGCTTCTTCCACGTGGGCTTGGTTGCTTCTCGGCTAGATGACTGCTTGTTTATAATCAAGCCTTGAAGACCCCAGATGCTGTATCTTTTGATAGCCGGGTACCATCAGCTTTCTTCTGATGAAGTTTTTGAGCCCTCTCATATGAGATTCAAATAATAGCTAAAGCATCTAATACTTTTTACAATCCTCAGTATTAAATTATATAATACTTCATCTAAGCCAACAGTTTCCACTTCTATTTATACTAAATCTTTTTTTTTTAAATAAGGGGGAATTTTAATCATATCTAAATTATAACCATCAGTTTACCCAAGAGTAATAGGCATATAGTGGAGAAGAGAAGAAAATCAGAATCTGGATAACTGGTTTATAAAAAATGATAAGTAAAACACCATTCTCGGTCAATATTCCTGGAAGAGTGACCCAAGACATTTAACAGATCAAATTGACCTTCAATAGCTATCTCATGCGCTATCAACTTTGCCAGCAATATTAGGTCTGAAGCATCTGATGCTGAAAACATTGGTAACAGGATGTAAATGAGGTTTCTGACGTTCAAGTCACTGCTATTTTAGTAGTGGTTCTTGAGTGGGGCTGCCAGTTGCAAGGTCAGCATTTCAAAATCACTAGGAGCTCTGAGGGAGCAAGATCAAGCTTTCTAGTCTCATAGAAATGAGAAGTCTTGGAAACTCATAGGGGAAATTCTAACTGTCGTCTATGATCACTATGAGTGGGCATTGACTCAATGGCTGTGAATTTGGTTTTGGGGGGCACTTGGAATAAATCTAACCAATGATAGTTCTTTCTTTCCTAACATCAATAAGAGCCACCACAGCCTTACCTGATTGCAGGTGTTGATGTCTATGCCTCCCTTCAGATATTCCACTACTTTGTCCAGATTCCCCGCTCTGGCAGCTCGAAGGAAACTTGCATTGCTGTCAGACTGCAAGAGAAAGAAAAGCCTTTGAGTGAGCTGGTGATAAAATAAATGAAAACATACTTACACTGCAACTCAGGAAAGCTTTCACTGCAAAAATTTAAACATTGAATAACTAATTATAAATAATCAATTATGAAAACACTGAATAGCTAGTAAGGAATAATAACTAATTATTTCAGGCAGGTATGAAATTTTTATTTTTAACTCTTGGTTAAACTTGTGTGATGGATTGAGTCTCTTACTGATTTGAAATGTTGCTAAATTGCTAATAAAGAATAGGAAAAACAACCCATGATGATGAAGAGGGTAGAGAAGATGCTATAGTAGACAAGAGGATTTTTATAGCTGTATAGTTCCATAGAGTTCCGTAATGAATTGTTATAAGCACCTAGAAAATTAAGTAAGTGGGGGGCGGGGAGAGGATGAAAATTGATTAGCTGTAGAGAATAAAAAATTGTACAAAAACTCAATCATATTATAGTATGTGCTTGGGTTGTGGTTAATAACGAATAATTTATTGACTACAATTTACTTATAATAATAATAATAATTTATTGACTTCAAGGACCGGGAGGTGTTTCGTCCGTTGTACACAGGGTTGCTGTGAATCAGAACCCACTCGGCACCCGACAACAACAACATTGACGTATAGAATAGTGTGGCGCAATTATACTTCAAGGAAATATATGAAGAAGAAATGTTGAAGATTAAAAGAGAACTAAATTCTCATTCTTCATAGTATTACTTTTAGGAAGTAAATAACTAATTAGCATTTTAAAGTTAATTTTGAAATCTGGGAATGTAAGTACAATGTCCTAACCTACACCGTTCCTAGAGATTTGTTTAAGGTCATTCAAACCCACGAGAGATTTGCTTTGCCATATGAAAAAGTATAAAGCAGGAATAACCAATTGTATTCAAGTCCATTTTACCGCCTGGCAACCCCAGAGGTGTCCGAACAGCACTGCTTCATAGAGTTTTGGTGTTGTGCACAATTCACTGTTTGGGGGAAGGAACTTTGCACAGTGAGTTAGGGTCTCGGGTTATTTTCCTACAATGGGTTCTCTGTGACATTGGTTACAATTTTCACAGTGTGTCAGCACTGTGCTCATTATTCTCTTTCTGTTCATTCTGTTTCCCCTGATCTAGCTTCCTGTCCCCTCTTTAATTCCCCATCTTTGCTTTTGGGTAAATATTGAGAGTTTGGTCCCAAACAGTTAATCGATTGAGGTTTTCCATTACTCATGAGTGATATTGTGTATTTCATATCCTAATATATCGTTTGGGTGAAAAGGGACTTCCAAGAATGGTTTCGGTTTTAGATGAAAGAGATGTTTTAGGAGGAAAAGAAAGACTCGTGAGCATTAGTGGTCCAGGAGCTGCAAGTGAAAACAAGGATGGGAGATCATCTTACACCAACAAGGACAGCCCAGTGAACACCGAACCGAACCACGGCAACCAACAACGCTCATGCGCTGCTAGTGAGTTTGTAAACGTGTACAACCATCGTGGAGCATGACCTGGCTCTACCTCAAACAACCGGGTGTAGACATTCCACGGGACCCGGGAGGACCTTTGCTTGGTGAGAACCCTACGGAAGGAAGAGACATAACACAAACAGACACATGCACGCTCATGTCCGTTGAAATACTCTCGGCAATTGAAAAACGGTGGAAAATAGCCCAAATGTCCATCGTAGGAAAACAGATAAAAAAATTTTGGTACATAGACACAAGGAAATAGTATGCATCAACACCGCCCCCCCCAAAAAAAAAAAAAATGATGAGACACCTCATGGCATGTGTGGACCTGGAAAGCATGTGCTGAGTGAAAACATTAAGCCAATCACAAAAAGACAAATACTTTTTCCAAAAACGAGCACTGAACCGGCTCCTTGAGCAGGTGCATTGTCGTGGAGGCAAACCCAGCCCCCCGTCTGCCACACATCAGGCCCTTTTTTGTGATACGGTGTTCAGGAAGTTGACGACTGTCCAGAATAAGGCTTGTCATCAATAGATATTTTCACCTTTTTTAAAACAAGAAAACCACTCTTTTCTTCTTTTTTTCACAGGCGCCCGATGCGGGCTCCTGACCCAAAGACACGATACGTTTCGCGCACCTAAGACCCCGCGCGGACAACCACTCTTATACTTAATGTTTTTTCCCATAGTGCCCGCCTTGTACGCTGTATTCAATATTACTGCAGTTTCTGCGGCATTTTCCCCATGCAGGGGACAAAACTTCACAGCTGCACACTGTTCTCTTAAATCGGCCGTCGCAAAAATCGAGGTTCCAGCGGAAACTGCTTTCATGAAAAAATTCACTGGGACCAGAGCTTCCCAGGCGACGCCACTGGTGCAGAGCGAGTTGCTCAATGTTTGCCGAATGAAAGCTCCATCCAGCGGGGCTTTTTTCCATTTGGTTTGTTTGTTTTTTTGGGGGAGTGTGTGTGTGGGGGGGATTAATCGAACATGAGACCATTACTATAAGGATGAAAATCAAGACAGGCGTTCATACTAAAGAGAACAGACGTGGGACTTTGCCGAGGATGAGAGCGCAATTGGGGAGACACGAAGCAGTGGTCTAGAAGGTGGACGGTATTAACTTGGGTGGAATGGTAGACAGCGATTCCTAAGAGCGAGAAGCGAAATCAGAAGTAGGGGTGGGATAGCGTATGGGGTGGGATGATGAATGATCTGAACTGTTGTATGCAACGTTGATGGTCTGAAATGTAATCCACCCCCTTACCTAATTCAAAAGAAAAATACATTTAAAAGGTGAGTATCTTGGAGAGATCGTCTTGGGGGTTCTTCCAGTCTGGATCTGTTCAGTACGTCTCCTATTTTATTTTTTACGAACTTGAAGGTTTTCTTCTGTTTCTCTCCTATTCTAGCGGAGACCTTCGATTGTACCCCTGGACAGAGTGGTTGGTAGGTGTTTTGGTCTCCGGTGAGAAGTCACAGTTGTGGGTGGGTTTCTTCCTTGAACCTTTGGATTCCTTCATTCTCTTTTATTCCAGACAAGCAGCGATCACCAATTTCTCCTTCTTCTTCTCCTTCTTCTTTTTAAAATCATTTTACTAGAGGCTTGTACAACTCTTATCACAATCCATACATCCATCCATTGTGCCAAGCACATTTGTACATTTATTGCCATCATCATTTTCAAAACATTTTCTTTCTACTTGAGCCCTTGTTACCAGCTCATTTTCCCCCTCCCCCCCACCCTCCTTTCCTTATGAACCCTTGATAATTTATAAATTATTATTATTTTTTCATGTCTTACACTGATCAATGTCTCCTTTCACCCACTTTTCTGTTGTTCATCCCCCTGGTTGCTTACTAACTTTTAAGATCCCAGGGGCTACTAACCAAGTGAGGGCATCGAATGTTAACTTTATGACCTATATTATGCCAATTGACTACGTTATCCCATGAGACTGTGGCACTAAGCCCTTCGATCTAGTCACCCAGATTCACCAGTTGTTTGTTTATGTCTAGAAAGTCTCTGTAATTGTGCCTCCACTGTGCTTTATTGTATCTCAAACATGCAGCACACACTGACATGTATTTCCATATGTCTATCCATACACAAGGAGCCCTTGTGGCATAGTGGGTTATGAATTGGGCCGCTAACTTCAAGGTCAGCAGTTCAAAACACCAGCCACTCTGACGGTGAAAGATGAGGCTTTCTGCTCCATAAAGAAATACCGCTTTAGAAAGCCCCAGGGACGGCTCTGTTTTGTCCTATGGGGTGCTGTGAGTTGAAATCCACTCCGTGGAAGACAGGGTAATGCATTTACATATATGTACACGCATATACATACACTTACACTGTATGCACTGTTATGTGTTGGGCTACAATCCACATGGTCAGCAGTTCGAAACGACCAGCAGCTCTGAGGGAGAAATTCTGGGCTTTCTACTTTCATAAACAGTGATAGTCTCAGAACGCCACAGGGGAGTCATTCTGAGTCAGCATTGACTCAATGGCAATCCATTTCTTTTTCTGGTTTATACATCTGGAACCTCATACATGGGTTTTGGGCTATTGTTAGCATTACAGTTTTTATTATGTTCTAGCATTTACTAAAAGTGTCTCTTTTACTGGTATATTTCTGTGTGTCTTCATTTTCTTTGGCCAGGCTGGGCAGACATCATCTTTATTTTGTAGTGTCTCTCCCATCCCTGAAAATAATGCTTCTACTATTTAGAAAAGGGCTTGCCACACCCTAGGGAACAGTTCTCTGTCATACGGAGTCACGTTCCACTCCACAAGGGTTAGGGTTTGGCTCATGCCAAGCCAAAACAGAGTCATAAAACTAAAAGCAATCAAAACTCCCTTAACTCGTTGTTTTTCAGAAGAGCCTGTGGGAGAGTGCTGGGTACGGGTGACGTGGCAGCCCCAAGTCTTCATTATCCAGGAATAACAGAAAGCACCAAGGATGCTTTGATAAAAGAGGGCAGCACTGGTGGGCAGGTGTGGACTAAGTCAAGGTTGATTGTTGAGCCCAGTGATTTTGAAAAAATAAGATTAAGTTTAAACCAGCTGTCATGACACCAGACTACAATCTCTTGGCAAAGATGATCGCTCTTCATGGAGAATGCATTGTATATTTTCCATATGAAAATCTGATCCTGGGATAACTGGCTGAGTGATACCCATGGAAATTATCAAAGAAGGTTACTCCAGAGACCTAGCTACAGTCATCCAACATGATTAAAAATCTTGACTTTTAGACCTTGATGTGATCATGATAATAAATTGCATAAAAATTCCAAGACACGCAGATAACAACTACATATCTTTCTTGAAAGATAACATTGATGATATAGCATTTGACTAATGAGAAAACTTAAGATGCAGAGGAACATAGTTTATCTAATAGGACGTGAGGTCTAGGTTTGGTGCTTTTGAATCAAGCAGTCTACTCACAAGGCTATACTGTCCCCCTCCCTTTAAGAATGTTCCTGGCAGGGACTCTTGGCGACTTTGTCAGGGCT